TCATAATTTCTATCAGCTTTCTTTTTTGTTTGTATTTTAGGGAAGGGTCCAGAGGGTGTTCAAGGTCTCACTACTAGATCAGACTTGTAGTGATCTGCCTGTTTACAGCCTCCCAAGAACAGGGATTACAGGTGTGTGCCACCATGCCCAGTCTCAATTGCTGTTTCAGCATGCACCGGGGCGGGGCCAGCAATGCAGACCCAGGGATTGAACCCTCAGCCCCTGCACCTGCTTGCAGGTGCTTTAATCCACTGTGTTATTTGGCCCATCCTTCTGTCAGTTTTCTTGAAAATAACAGTTAATGTTTAGACTTTTCACCTTGACTATGTATGCAGGTATCTTCAATCTGAGCAACTACATTGAGGCCAGCAATGCGTAATACAAAACCCATGCTTGACTGTCTCTCATCTTGGTCTTCTAAATGTATACCATTTATAATGTCTTATCAATTATTATACTCCTTTAAAATAAATTAAAACAAAAAAGACAAAGAAAAAAATTAAGATTTCTTGAAAGCAAGCACCAATATTCAATTATTTTTTCCAATCTTGTACAACTATATGTGTTAGTCTGAGCAACAGATTTGATGATAAAAATAGATAATATAACAACCATTGTTGGTTAGCTATTCCTGTCTTGGAAATCTGTAACATATGTATTATTGTATATTACCCTGTTTCTGTCTTTTTTCTATTTGTTTTTGCTTCTGCTTTTACTCTTCAAAATAAAATAAAATAAAATAAAATTTTAAAAAATGTTAGGAGTTGTCTCTGAATATCAGGTTTATGAGAGTGATTTTCATTTACTTTCTACTTTTGTGAAAATTCCAAATATTCTACAATAAACTTATATGGCTTTTACAATAAAAATGAAACATGGACCATGGAAAGGAGATGTTACATTCCTTTTACTGTGGAAAAGTTGAGAAACAGGTGTATGCTTTTGGCAAAATTTTGTTCACTCACTGAGAAGACAGATTTAGTTCAGCATAACCAGGACAGGTATGGCAACTCTCTCTCACAGTGTATTCCTTTGTGAGCGGCAGAGGCAACCGGGACACGTGTCCCTGCTCTCTAGCTCATGTCTCTGTCACTGAGCAGCTCTGGGGGCCCCTGGCATTGCAGCTGGGGGTCATTATCCTCCAGGTGAGAACAGCACAGCACACTGTGGTTTCTTGCGATGGCCAATTACACACCAGGCTTTGCTGTTCATTGTGGATTTCAGCCCACCCTAGGGGTTACTGGGATGCATTTTGTTTGACATGATTGATATTTACAATCAATTGACCTTCAGTAAAGGGGACTACTCTTCAAAATGTCAGTGGGCCTCACTCCATCAACTAAGAGCCTCAGGGGGTTTTTCAGAGAAGAAATTTGGCTTTATGACTATCAGATAAATTTTCTGAGTTTTTCACTTACTATCCTGCCCTATAAACTTGTTAGCTTCCTAACTTCACAATATAAGTCAGTTCTTTGAAAATATCTACTATCTTTCTATTATCTATCTATCTATCAATCATCTATCTATCATCTATATATCTATTCTAATCAATCATTTATGCAGGTTATCTGTATTTTAGGTTCCATATGTGCAAATTTAACCAACTTTGGATAGAAAATATTTGAAAACATTTTTAAAAAATTTTTCCAGGCTTTTTCTTGTCATTATTCCTAAACAATGTAGCACTACAATCATTTACATAGCATATATGCTATATTAAGTATTATGTAATCTAGAAATGATCTGAAACATATGGGACAATATACATGGGTTCTATGCAAATATTACACTGTATGAAAGACTTGGACATCCACTGATTTTTGTGTCTTGGAACCAGTGTTGTTGGATACTGAGGAAAGACTGTATTTACATAAACATTTACTTAGATATTATGTCACACACATACATTGCAAATAGGTACTTCAGGCTGGTGTACCCATCTAAGTTCCTCTCTCTGGAACTCATGAAAAGATTGGGGAGAGTAGTTTTGTTTTTTCACCAGGTCCTTCTGCTTCCTGGGAAATTACAAGCTCAGATAACAAGCATAACTTCGTCAACTCACATTCTCATATCTTGTATCTTCAATGTGCTATCAAAATCCTGACATGTTGGGCCAAGAAGATAGCTCAGTAGAATAAATGATTGCCTGGCAAGTTCAGGGTCCTGAGTTCAATCCCCAGTACCAAAAAGAAAAAAAAAGTCCTGACATGCAAGTAAAAGACTGTGGCAAGGCCCCTACTGGGTGTCTTATTGCCCAAACCAAGGAGCCTCTCCACCTCTACACGGAGGAAAGAGAATATCAAACAGTGAAAAGGAGTTTGAAGTTAAGTTCTTTTGCATTAGGGTGATCTTAGAGAACCATAAATAGAATTTAAAAGCTTTCTAAACTGTAACATTTCTACTTAGAAAACCTCTGTGGCTGTGTCTGGTTGAGGAATATAAAACTCCAGCCTCTCATGTACGCAGAGATAAAATGCTTCACTCATCAATAAAATGCCAGGAAGGAAAAGACACATACTGAGGCTGTCCCCTTCCTCTTTCTCTTTTGCTTTTATCTCTTCCTCTTACCCCTTTCCCTAACTTTCTTCTCCTCCTCTTCTTTCTTCTCCTTTTTCTTCTCCACCTCCTTGTTCTTCTCTAAATGATTTTGATACTTCAGAAACTGCTGACATTTTGTGACTGTAAAATTGATGGGAAGAATGCATAAATAAGCCATTCTAATAAAAATAGCTTATCATTTGGTTTTAAATTTGTTCTATACAAAAGATGGGAAACTGATAGCTCTAAATCTTGAGCTATTGGAAATTAGATATGTGATGGCATGTTCTATCTGAGAATACTCATCTTTGAAAGTTGTAATTTAATAAATTACTTTAAAGGGAAAAATTCTGCTTTAATATATCTATAAGAATAGAAAATAAATATTGATGTACACATAGAATTAGGATCCTTCTATCTGACATGATTTCTGTGCTGCGTAATAATGTTCCACTCTTTGTATTTAAAGAAAATACAATCAGCATATGATTGGCAGAAAAGATATTCTAAGTTAATAAAAACTGAACTCTGTCTTCTCTCCCACTCCCAGCTGTTTTTACCAGAACTAAAGGTCAGTGAGTCACTCAGACAACATTGCTGAAGGCCTTCTATGTGCAAAACACTGCAGCAAATTCAGGGAAGCATATAAGAAAAGCAGTCATTCAGAAAGAGATTTGCTAAGATATTTCTGTGCCATACATAGAAATAAATATGTATGTGGAAAGAATATTTCTTGGTTTGATTTAATTTCTATTCTTAGAAATGTCATAACAATTAAGAATACACATAACATTTTTACTTTGAGCATGGAGTCTCTACCAAGGTTGTGGAATGAATAAATGAACGAGTTTCAAATCGAGTCAGATTTTTATTCTGACCAATATGGGGCTCTTGGATTTGCCATGTGTCACAGGCCTTCCAGGACAGTCAAAGTCATTCTTTTTTTTTTTTTTTTTTTTTTTTGGTGGAACCAGGGATTGAACTCAGGCCCTTGTGCTTGCCAGGGAAGCACTTAACCTACTGAGCCATCTCCCTGGCCCCTTCAAAGTCATTCTTGTGAGTTACTTTACACATTGTGAAATGGAGTCAAATGCATAGAAGTACTCTATTAATGGGGCTAGGGAGATAGCTCAGTAGAATAAGCACTTCCCTGGCAAGCGCAAGGGTCTGAATTTAATCCCCCTTTCTGCCAAAAAAAAAAAAAAAAAGAAAGAAATGTTCTATTACTTTTACTTAAGAACTCCACTGTGTCTAAATTTAAAAGTATTTGCCAATTATTTTTTGCAAGCATGATTGTTAACCAATTGAAAACCCTCCTAGGCTTTTACTAACTTATCAAAGAGAATTTATCAGCCATGACTTTGGATTGCTCCAAACGTAGCTTGCTAGGCTCTAGTTCTTATTATCTTATTTTGTAGGTCAAAGGGCTGAGAGAGAGGGTGCACGGAGAGGGCCTCAAGTCTGGAAAGGTGATGCTTAGTCATTTAAGGGCAGAGAAGCAATAAAATGACTACTTGAAAGTTCCATGGTTAAAAAAAAGTATGAAATATCAATACAAGGACAGCAAACCCCCTCACTTGTAAGCTGAGAATGTTGACTCATATTTTTCCATCTCTCCTTTAATTTGTAAACTGAACACAGATCTGACAGCAGTGCTGGCAGGGTCTTAAAGATCGACTTCTACACTTGATCTTAGCCAAAAGGCCGAGAAGCGATTAGATCAACTTCTGTCAAAGACTGAAGCAACCTAGTCCTTACCCCTGAGGCTCTGAAGCCAAGCCACGACACTCTGAGCTGGGAGTCTCTACCAAGGTTGTGGAATGGATAAATGAATGAGTTCCAAACTCATTCTGGGCTGAGAACTCTGGCAGAGATTGTCTTCCAACCAACCTACTCTTTTACACACTCCAAAACTTTGGTAGCACACCCATGGGATTCTGTTGAGAAGGTGACAAAGACATCTGAGAGACAGTTCTGCTTTCCACTAGCTGATAATACCTTCATATCCAATAAGGGAGAAAGTAACAAGGACCACAAGAAAGGTAAGGAGGGGTAAGCTGAAGGAAAGTACTACAGTGATGGGTATTGGAAGCTCATCTAGAAAGCTGGATTCACCATAAAGGAAGTAGAAAAGGGCTAAGATTTTTCCATTGATTTTAGAGTCAGTTAGACCTGTTTGAATTTTGCTTCTGTGATTTCTGCTAACACATTAACTTCCTAAGCCTTCTTTCCTGCTCATAAACATAATAATCTCACTTCATTCTTGTGGGAATTAATTCAGTTATTTTAAAGGATTCAAAGTGAGGCACATAAATTGTGATTATCAGGAAGCAGCTGATACTTTTTGTCATTGTTTTTATGTAAGACTCCTCAAAGGTTTGGAATATTTCTTGTGCAGGGCAGAGAATTAGATTCATGAGCCTTCCCCTGCCAGTGCTGAGATGGGTATGCCCACATCAGCATCGGAAAATTCACTATGGGGCTTTCAGGAATTCTGCAAGCTATTCATTAAACATAGTTGTCCTTGAAATAGGCCATGGTGGGAGGATTTTGCCTATGAAAACCAGAGAACGCTACAAATCAGAGCTCCCTGGTGCCCACTTGATTTACTGGCATATCGCTGGAGCAAATTTCAGTCCTACAGACCTGTGAGCCTCCAGGAAGGGGAGGTGTATTGTGGGAATAGAAAATGTTCACAGGTTTTTGAACCCTCTCCTGAGGGGAAAAAAAAGCAGGGTCAAAGGTGATGCCAGAATGAGAAGAAAAATGAGGCGGAGAAGAATAAATCTTCTCTTAATGTAAGGATTTAAGTTTTTGAAAACACTGTTCAAATGTAATATTTATTGGTACATTCTGGAATAGAAAAATCATAGCCCCAGAATGGCCCAAATGTTTGATCCTTGATAGCAGATGTTTTTAATATAATTGGGAGGAATGGAGCTCATATGTAGTACTAATATTTATAAACACTCTTTTCTGTTTGCCAGATCCCTGCAGTGCTCCACTAGTCCGAGTGGCCCTCCTATTAATCTTCTTTCTGTCTGTTTTCTAACCCTTGATAGGAGGATCTCAAAAGTTATGAGGTATTAAAAATTCTACCTAGTCCTTATTAGGGAGAGAATATTCTTAGGTCCCAGCAGCCACTGTTGCTCTTACTGAAACTCGTTCCTTCTGTCCTTGCCTCTGTTATGGAAAGAAAATTAAAAAAAATTATTCCTCCTTGCATTTTCATTATTGAAGCTAGTGATGAGGCTTGTAGGTTCTCCCAGGCCCAGGTTGTGGTCAATGTTTTAAAATTTCTTTTCAGTGTTGTTTCTGTACATTTTGAACTATCTAGATTTTTCTCTTATATTCTCTAAATGTTTTTAGGGGATCTTTATTTTTTCCCTGAAAGTCCTTATTATTCAGACTGAAAGCATTATTTTTGTATAAAAGAGTCCCTTGTTCATGGGCCGTGAATTGTCTGTGCAGACAGTAGAGCCCCAAAGGGTAAATAAGCACTCACCAATCTTACCCTACCTATAATCTATGTCTTGCCTGCAATATGTATTTCTGAAGGAACAGACTGTCTCTGTCAGGATAAGTGGTAGGCGGCTTATTTATGGGCCTTTATTTCAATGGTCTGTTCAGTTTTGCAGTGTGAGGCTGCTGACTTTTAAACTTTAGTGATCAATGATGCATGAAGTCATCAAAAGTCTCTTAATTTTTTTCCTGAGTGAAACTGGCACTTGAATGTTTAGAATTATTACTTTTGTGTGTGTGAACTATTAAGCAGCCTTAACTTGGCAAAGGAGACATTTGGGGAACAAGGTAAATACATGGGTAACATTTTAGGGACTCTTGTTTTGTTTTTACCAGCTGGCAGATGAGTGTAATAAAGTTGGAGACAAAAGTGGAAAAAATTCCAAAGGACATTTTTCCAATGCCACAGGCCCCAGGACTACCCACTAGTATGCTTGAGCCAATAGAAAGAAGTTGGATTTTAATGTCACAATGGAATAAATAAATTATGGTTTATGGAAGGACTTGAGACTGTGGACATGTACGTCGCTCCTCTCATGCTGTTTAGTTATTAACAAATTTAAATTACTTACTTCATAGCATTATATAAAGAATAGTGTGACAATAAACAGACTGTAATTATTTGACTGTATCATTTATTATCCAAATCAAGACAGTTTTGAAAGTAAAAGGGGAAGAGACTATTAATAATTATGCCAGGGAAAAGCACATAAATTGCTGCTTTCTCAGATAAACCGAAATGTTCAGTTATGGTCAATCTTCTTGGCACAGAAGTTGTGACACATTTATGTGAATTCTGACTTATAGAAAAAAGCTAAATAAATGCTTTGCAAAATTGAGAGCTTTTGCCATGTTCCCTTTTATCTCCTGTGCTTCTCCCTGGCTGCCTAGGATGTTTCAAGAAAAGAGTGACAGTGTGTTTGGGAAAGAGGCCGTGTCTCTCAAACCGTGGGCTGTGCTGTGGAGTGATGGTGGCATACAGAGTCAGGAGACATTTGGGGAACAAGGGACACGGAACCTCTGGTTGGAGGTAGGGAACGCGGGAGCTTGGGGCTCAGAATATACACAATGCACTAAATTCCGGAGAGTTCCTATTTCTAGTGCCAGATGGAAATAGAAGCAACATTTGCCTGCATTTTACATTCTGTTATTTTGGTGAGTCTTCAAAATCTGGTAAAGTTCCTTGTATATAAAATTTTGTCCTCTATATTGACACTTGCCTATATATGGATTTTCAATTCCTACAGTATTCAAATTTTATTATAAGGTAAAAGTATGTACCAGATTTTGAAGATGCACCACAAGTATAGAATGTAAAATACCTCATTAACTTTTTAAAAATTTTTATTTATTTGGTACAGGATCTCACTATGCAGCTCAGACTCGTAGTAAGCCTCCTGTTTGCATCCTCCCCAGCACTGGGATTATAGGCATCAGCTGCCATACCTGGTCTCAGTGGCTGGCTCAGTGTGACTGGGGGCAAGGTCAATGAAGTGTGTGGTGCTGGGGATCGAACCCCAATCCCTGTGCTTGCCTAAGCAGGCACTTAGTTCACTAAGATATCTCGCTGGCCCACATCATTAACCGTTATATGGATTACATATTTAATTAATAACATCTGAACATATCAGAGTAAATAAAATACATTATTAAATCAATTTTAGTTGTTTCCTTTTACTTTAAAAAGAATTATTATTATTATTATTATTATTATTATTTTTAAACCGGGGATTGAACTCAGGCCCTTGGACTTGCCAGGCAAGCACTTATTCTACTGAGCCATCTCCCCAGCCTCTCCTTTTACTTTAAAAATGTGCAAATTTGTCACTTGCATTGGTGGCTGCTCTCATCAAGTTCTCACAGATAGCATTGTTGTAGATTAATGGGGTGAGAGAACCAGTGAGCTCTGCAGATACCTGTCTGAGCAGGAGCAACAGGACACTCTTCATGTCCCCAACATCAGTTCAGATGAGGTCTTGAAGGCTCCAGATTAATGATGGCAGTGGAGAGGACAAAGGTGGGACATTCCAGGAACAATAATCAGCAACCAATGATGCCAATAGTTGTGATAATGTCTTGGTGGCTGCCATGTGATCAGAAAGCAATACCAAGGGCAAAATTCTGCCCTCCCACTCCACCTCAGATCCCCATGTCCAGTGCTTCTGTGCTACTCTCTAAACCTGGGTACATACAACCCCTAAGAGAGATCGGAAACTTGGAGTAACTGATGCTTTTGTGCAGTGTCAGTTGCAGTATGTTTTGCTTCTCAAAAACAATGGTCATTAACTTCATAGTTGAGTTTAAAGAAAGCCAAGGATATTAGTAGCCATGTAACACTGCTACACACATCAGAACCTATGTTGGCAAAAAATGCTGAAGGCTGCCTGCTATGTGTCATGTACTGTCTTGAATTACCAGGCATTCAAAGGTGTTTGGAATGGGGTCTCTGGTGGCGCTGGCAGTGGAAGGGAGTGCTGTTGAGCCACTTAGGAAACATTTTAACAACTATTATGCCTCAAATGCCAGCTCAATAACTGATCTGGTAAAAATACAAATAAGCAAAGTTAAATTTCTTGCTTATCTCAGTTTGTAACTTGACTGATGTACATTAGTTGTAAATGGAATGGAAGTTCCTTTCTTACGCACAAAATTGTGCTATTTTGTATTGTTCTCCATTGCTAAGACTTGCTTTAATTTTCACCATCTGTATCATTTTTGTTTTATTTTCCAACAGTAACACATACACATACACACACATACAATTCCCTCCCAAACTACCTCAATGTTCACAAAGGACTCTGTATTTTCTTTCACTATTCATATATTAACTATCTAAGCTTAAGAAAGTATTGTTTCCATGTTAAACATGCAACATTGCTGAACAAAAATCATTTTACTGAGAGTGATGACATTGATAGGCATCAGTGTCTTAGTCACTTTCCTCACTCTCAAGACAGCATATTCAGTGTTTACAACTTGAAGACATTTATTTTGGATCATGGTTACATCCCATGGTTGACTGGCTCCAAGGAAAGACTGGCAGAGCAGTGTAGCACAGTAATAGCTGTTCATATCATGGTGACCATGAAGCAGAGATAGGAAGGATAAATCTGCAGGGAGATGCACACTACCAGGTCCCTCCCGTAGTCACCTGCCTCTTCCAACCAGGCCGCACCTTCTAGCACCACATTTAG